CGGTGGATCCAGTCCAAGACGAAATGTTGGCTCGGTTTGTTGTCGGAAGTCACATGCGGCACCACCCCAATTTGACAACTGAGGAGCGAGAACAATTGACAGAACAGTTGGCTAGTCTGGGCGCTACAACCGCAAGCTCAGACGCCAGTGCAGCTGAATGTCAGCCACTCTCACAGGTAAAAAATATCTATATGTAGCTTTCTGTTGTGATAAATAGGAGAGGTAAGGAATTCGTCTAAACGCTATCGCAAAAATTCAAGTTTGTAATTTCTTCAGGCTTTTTTGTGTCAACGACTTAAAGCGTTTCCTAGCAAGACATAGGCTGTCTTTGTATGGACCGTCCCTACCTTATTGATCCACGTACCATTCTTATATAAATCAGTGGTGTACGTAACTACTACGTGAATCTGCCGAAATTGCATTTGGAGAATTTATGTGGTTCTAGTCTTGACGTTTTTTCTATAAAAATCCCACGTCTTGGAGTGTCATTTTTTACCTCTTGTCATAGTCTGACACATCTTGCTTACCTATTTCTCCCACAAGGACTAAACAGAGGTACTTATTGCCTTTTCATTAATTGGTTCGGAAGAGGTATCCAATACCTACATATACATATTGATGTATTTATTGCCTCGATTTTTAAAAGAAGCTTGTGCTTGAATATTGCTTCTACAACCATCTTTTCAGGAGTTATTGAAGAAGTACATATTGTATGCAAAGGAAAGAATACATCCCAAGCTTAACCAAATGGACCAGGATAAGGTGGCAAAAGCCTATGCTGATCTCCGTCGTGAATCTATGGTAAGTTAGATTGTCCCATTATTGTAATCCCATTAAGGCCACGGGAAGCATACCGATCACCGTACGCCACATTGAATCTGTGGTAAGGATGGCCGAAGCCCATGCACGCATGCACCTTCGCGAGTACGTGAACGAAGATGACGTTAACGTCGCGCTTCGTACGGTTTTGGAGTCGTTTGTGTCGACACAAAAGTTTGGAGTTATGAAATCTATGCGACAGGTACGCGTTGTAATATTTTGCACGTTTCTCACTTGTTGCTTCATCTCTACAGCTTGTTCAGTGATAAAAACCGCACTTTTTCAGACTTAGGGAGGTGTGGGGGGTGTGTAGACGGTGGTAACTTCTCTTATGGACTAGTCATTATTATTTATGCGGGAGTTTTTAAAGCTGTCATCCAATGCGGTGTGATAGTTCGACGCTAGAATGGGTAAGAATTTCGTCGCCGGATAAATTGGTCTGGGACGCGATTTCATTGCGCGGATTTTTGTGATGTGTATTTGAGATAATGTTGATCCTCTTTCCTGCGTGATCACTTTTCAATATGCGACCACCTGCAATGACATCAAGGTGAAACGGCACGAGTATGCCCGTAACTTAATCAGTGAGTCCATTTATTACGGTAATGTATATTACACAAACATAACAACGGACCCGTGGATCAGCAGTAGTGGTGGTTCTAACAACGGTCAAATCACAGCTTCTGTGAACGTGAAATGGGCTATAATTAGCTAACTACAACTAGTAAGCCAGAAATGATGACACTAGTGTACACTGCCCTTGTCGATACTTCTTCATACACACAAGTCATTTTTACAACCTTACCATCTCAGTGCAGTCCGTATTAAGATCACCTAACTACGCTACTCATATTTCAACTTTTTGAAAATTAGAATGGTTGCCTGTCTGCTCACCTGTTCTGGTCTAAGCGTTTTTGGACCATAAATTGCAGCAGCACTAGAAACAGTTTTTCTGAATAACGTGCTTTTCTTTCTTGTGCTGTTTCTAGTATACAGTGAAACTAGTATCTTCCGTCATCGTTGAGTCAACCTCTGATATTGTTTGCCTAATCGTCTTGTGGCTGCGCAGGCAGTTAATTGGTCGTCATTCCGGCCATCCTAAATTAGAATTAGTTTGCTCCGGGGATTCCGTTAAATCGGCCTATGAAGAGGAAGCACTACTAGCCAGGCTCTGATATCAAGCGAACTTCGATACGCGTTCTGTTTCCCAAAATTTATCTTCCTTTGCTCAACTCTAACCTACTTGTTTTAGAAGTTCTCACGCTTCCTAAGCTATCGTCGTGACAATCAAGAGCTGGTGCTCTTCCTACTCAAACAACTGGTCCATGATCGGACTGCTTTCGAGCGTTCACGTCATATAGATGATGAGAGCTGGCAAATTGAGATTCCCGAACAGGATTTGGCAAACAAGGCGAAACAGGTCAATATTTCGTCGGTTCGCGCCTTTCTTTCCAGCGAACTTTTCACTGCCCATCATTTCTCGTACGACGCCGGTCGTAAAATGATCATCTATACTATGTAGACCGTAAGTCGTTCCACAAGTGTATTACATGTTTTTGAAAATGACAATGGCTTCGATACAAACAGCTGTCATGGAGGCTGTGCGTAGGGCAAACTGCTTCTTCTGTTTTACAGATTGCACTACCCATCGCCTTCACGCTCCTGTCAAACATCGCCTTTGTACATTATATGATTCGCAGGTTTTCACCGTGAAGTATGGAATTGATCCTGGGCTTTTCATCCTTTTCAGGTCCAACCACGCATTTTGAGATATTGAAGATTTACACTATGCTGCCTTGAGGCCTTTTAACACTATTTTGTATGATCGTTTTTGTGTACTAAAGATATTTTAACTTTCTTAACACTTTTTCTTCAAAATCGGAAGGGATCAAATCAACGTAAATGTTGTGGACGCGGAAGTCGTTTCCCTAACAAACTGGTTAATTCACTACTTAAGCGGTGAGTTAAGATCCGGTCCTTCCATTGGTGGTTTTCGTTCTTAGGTGAAAATCATCTTCACTCCACAAAATAAGGTTCGGTAACTTCCATTACCCGGCGGCCGACAGACAAAATTGGGGCTAGTTGGCGCATTACAGTAATGTCTTCATACTCATGCTCTCTTAATTTGTCTCAACTTTGAGCGTGTTCTAGTGTCAACTTGAACTCACAGCAACCTGCAGTAATAATTGCCTTGTTTTGATAGGTATTCGCTGGTGCAACTAAAGGCGGCTGTAGCATCCGCGAAGTCGCTTCTAGGTGCAATTTTCGTTACATAACGTATCTGACGGTTCATCGTATCTGCTTTTCTCTTGCACACATTACAAGCACATCCGCTTGGCTCTGCGGGCCAGCTTTACGTGGGGCTGCACGGTGTCAAATTGAAATGCGGGGAACCACAGAAAGTGTCCCTATATTTGTGTGAAAAATACAACTGAT